GGGACAGTGCGTGTCGCATGTTCAGGCGGACGGGGCGCGCTTCCCTCGGGCGGGCTGAGCTCTGTTTGGACGGCCGGTCTCCGACTGTCGGCGGCTGTGGCGGTCAGCGGTTTCTCTCTCCTTTCTCAGGACGTGCAGAGCAAGTTGAAGGAGTCGGCTCAGTGTGTGGGAGACGAGTTCCTGAACTGTAAGCTGGCGACTCGGGCCAAGGTACTCGTCCGGTTGGGGTCTGACTCCCCGTGGCCAGGCATCCCTCCCACATGGAAGGGTGCAGGGGACAGAGACCCGCCCATGCCATCTTCGTGGCCAGGGCCACACCCACTGTGCCGGGAGGGGCCTGGCCGGAGGGGCCACCTCGGAGGTCAGACGTCTGAGCTGTGCGGCTGGACACCAGGCTCGTCGTGACTCGGATGGACACGAGCTCGGTGACCAGCCTTTCGGATTTCCGGGGCTTGGTCGTTGCCTTGGTTTACTTTAACATTAGTTAATCCGGTCTTTCCCCAAAGGGTTAAGGCAGCTGTTGGCAGCTCTTTTCCTGCTTCCGCTGCTTCTCCATGTGAACACGCCCTAGGCCAGTGATGGCGAACCTATGACATGCGTGTCAGAGGTGACACGCGAACTCATTTTTTGGGTTGATTTTTCTTTGTTAAATGGCATTTAAATATATAAAATAAATACCAAAAATATAAATCTTTGTTTTACTATGGCTGCAAATATCAAAAAATTTCTATATGTGACACGGCACCAGAGTTAAGTTAGGGTTTTTCGAAATGCTGACACACCGAGCTCAAAAGGTTCGCCATCACTGCCCTAGGCCTTCCTTCACGCCCGAGCCCCCGCTCCCTCAGGGTGATGCCGTCAGCGTCAGTCAGCGTCAGGCTGGTGGGACGTGGCTGCGAGGCCTCCTCCCCTGACGGCCCGTCCCGTTCTCCTCTCTCCACTGCAAGTCGAAGGCTGTACCCGGTGTTTCTGCAGGGCCTCTGGTTTCATCAGTTTCAGGGGACGCTGGAGTCGTAGCCTCGCTGGTCGTTCAGCTGTGTGTGCCGTGTGTGCTATGTACTGTGTGTGCTGTGTGCTGTGTGTGCCACGTGTACTGGTGTGTGCCATGTGTGCCGTGTGCTATGTACTGTGTGTGCTGTGTGCCATATGCTGTGTGTGCCATGCGTGCCGTGTGCTATGTACTGTGTGTGCTGTGTGCCATATGCTGTGTGTGCCATGCGTGCCGTGTGCTATGTACTGTGTGTGCTGTGTGCCATATGCTGTGTGTGCCATGCGTGCCGTGTGCTATGTACTGTGTGTGCTGTGTGCCATATGCTGTGTGTGCCATGCGTGCCGTGTGCTATGTACTGTGTGTGCTGTGTGCCATATGCTGTGTGTGCCATGCGTGCCGTGTGCTATGTACTGTGTGTGCTGTGTGCCATATGCTGTGTGTGCCATGCGTGCCGTGTGCTATGTACTGTGTGTGCTGTGTGCCATATGCTGTGTGTGCCATGCGTGCCGTGTGCTATGTACTGTGTGTGCTGTGTGCCATATGCTGTGTGTGCCATGCGTGCCGTGTGCTATGTACTGTGTGTGCTGTGTGCCATATGCTGTGTGTGCCATGCGTGCCGTGTGCTATGTACTGTGTGTGCTGTGTGCCATATGCTGTGTGTGCCATGCGTGCCGTGTGCTATGTACTGTGTGTGCTGTGTGCCATATGCTGTGTGTGCCATGCGTGCCGTGTGCTATGTACTGTGTGTGCTGTGTGCCATATGCTGTGTGTGCCATGCGTGCCGTGTGCTATGTACTGTGTGTGCTGTGTGCCATATGCTGTGTGTGCCATGCGTGCCGTGTGCTATGTACTGTGTGTGCTGTGTGCCATATGCTGTGTGTGCCATGCGTGCCGTGTGCTATGTACTGTGTGTGCTGTGTGCCATATGCTGTGTGTGCCATGCGTGCCGTGTGCTATGTACTGTGTGTGCTGTGTGCCATATGCTGTGTGTGCCATGCGTGCCGTGTGCTATGTACTGTGTGTGCTGTGTGCCATATGCTGTGTGTGCCACGTGTACTGGTGTGTGCCATGTGCTGTGTGTGCTATGTGTGCCATGTGTGCTATGTACTGTGTGTGCTGTGTGTGCCATGTGTGCTGTGTATGCCGTGTGCTGTGTGTGCCATGTGTGCGGCGATGTTTGTTTCTCTTACCCACGCTGGGGTGCAGGGCCCTGGGCTGGTCCCCACGCAACCTGGATTTGGGAGCCCGTGTCCTCTGGGTCTCCTGTGCTGAGAGGCATACACGTGTGGCGGTTCATGGTCACAGCTCCCCTCTCCTCCCGCCAGGACTTCCTCCCCGCCGACATCCAGACGCAGTTCGCGGTCAGCCGGGAGCTGATCCGGAGCATCTACAACAGCTTCTACAAGCTCCGAGACCGGGCCGAGCGGATGGCGGCCAGGGCCATCGACAATGCTGCCGACCTCCTCATCTTCGGGAAGGAACTGAGGCAGGTGGCCCAGAGGCTCTCGGGGCCCGGGTGGGAGGGGCCTTAGGCTTTGGTGCTGGGCTAATGCATTTCTCATAAGACCCTGGCCCCTCCGGCTCCAGGCCCCTGCGGCTCCAGGCCCCTCCGGCTCCAGGCCCCTCCAGCTCCAGGCTCTGCTCTGAGCTCACGGACTAAGGGTGTCGTTTTCCGCAGCCTCGCTGACCTTGGTGGTTTTCACGTTGACGTGAAATTAGTCCTAACACGAAATTGGGTCAGACCACCGCCCATCAGGACTTTCTCCAACTCAGCTACGGCCCTTTTCACGCTCGCTGAGCGCGGAGGCATCTGGGGCTGGTGGTCCCAACCATAAGAATGGATCCTGGTTGTTTTCCCCAGACCGGCCGGGAGGCCTAGGGAACCGCCCAGCCGAGAGGTGACACTCCCGTGGGTGCGTGTGTGGACAGGGTGTGTGCCTTTGGTAATGGCGCAGGTGCGGTGTGCGGGGTCGAGTGCGGCCTGGGGCCAGCAGGGGCCTGTTGGCAGATGACACGGCCAGGATGGAGCCCCGAGTGCCCTGCTCCGTTCCGGCTCCTCTCCCGGTCAGGAGGGGCCGGGCTCTGTGGTCACTGGGTACTTTCCTGGAACCTCACTGGTTAGCACGTGGCTGTGGGTGTGGACTGCAGTGGCCTGGAACCCCTAAGGCCAGGCATGCGTGGGACCCGAGGGACTCTGGGCCTCCAAGTTGGTGCTGGCTCCCAGGCCACTGCTCGTACCCCCAGCAGACTTGCCCTCCTCACTTCTCGGCTGCCTCCTGGCTGCACCCCCTGTGGGCTGTGGGGTGAGCTTTCCACTGTCGGCCACACGAGCTCTCGATGTTGTAGTGGGACCTTGTTTCCCCGAGCCGGTGTTCCACCTGGGGGAGGGCTGGCTAACACCTGGGGGAGCTGCTGGGAGGGTGTCGCGGCGCCCGGCTCTCCTGGTGCGTGTGGGCGATGTGGGCTTTGGAGTGTGGGAGGGACACGCAGTGCTGAATGGTGAGCACATGTGGGCGGGGGGCGGGGTGAGGCCTGTTCTCATTGAACTGCTGGTTCCATGGCTTCTCTGCCTTGTCCTGGGCCTGCCTGTGGGGGGCTGGCTGGGTCCGGGGAAGGGCCTGCCGGGCATGCGGACACGTGCTGTGGGGCAGGTCCCGGGCCCTGTGCTGGGCGCCAGGTAACCAGCCTGTTTCCCAGGGCAAACAGGAGGAGGACGCCGTGGTGGAGAAGCTGAACCTCTTCCTGGACCTGCTCCAGTCCTACAAGGTGAGTCTGGGCTGCGCCTGCGTGTTCGCGCGTGCATGTGTGTATGTCTCTGCGTGAGTGTGTGCATATGTATGTCTGTGTTTGAATGTGTGTATGAGTGTGAGTGTGTGCATGTGTATGTCTGTGTGTTTGCACATATGTGTGTGCTTGCGTGCATGTATATGCCTGTGTGTTTGCATGTGTGTTGTGTGTATGTCTCTGTGTTTGCACATGTGTGTGCGTGCATGTATATGCCTGTGTGTTTGCATGTGTGTTTGCATGTGTGTATGTATGTGCATATGTCTCTGTGTTTGAATGTGTGTATGTCTCTGTGTTTGTATGTATGTCTCTGTGTGAGTGTGTTTGCACGTGTATGTGTTTATGCATGTGTATGAATGCGTGTGTGTTCACGTCTCTGTGTGTGTGAGTGCGTGCATGTGAATGTGTGTACGTGTGCCTTGTGGGGATGGCCCGGCTCTGTGAGCAGGCGAGGGCTGCCCTGCGCAGAGGAGCTCGCCTGTTGCGGGGGGGGGGAGCGCTTCTGCCTGTGGGGCTTCCTGACGGGATGTCTGACCTGTGAAGCCGAGAGCCCTTTGTGCTGAGCTCAGGAGCTGGCCAGTGCTGTGGGAATGTTCCAGAAAGGGCTGCTCCACCGAGAGGGCTGGTGGCAGGTGGCCTTGGGAGCCCCAGACTTTTGCTGGGAGGCGGGTGGGGCCCCAGGCGAGGCCCAGGCCCCTCCTTGCTGCCGGCGGGACGGGCAGCGTGCCAGTCCGGCCCAGATGCCTATCCCTGTGCTGTCCACGCGGTGTTTCACGTGGTGGTTTGTGGTCCCCCCGGGCCCACCCGAGCTGCTCTGCCACGAGCACCTTCAGGAGTGAGTGAGCGGGTGCATGAGCTGTTGGCAGGAGGAAGTCATTCCCGGGGAGCCCTCACACAGGACGGTCACGCACTGACGGGTCCGAGCCTGCATGCCCTCCGTCCTCCCCGTGGGGTCCTCCTGCGGGGCGGGCTCCAGCTCTCGCTCCCCCCAGGACCTGTGTGAGCGGCACGAGAAGGGTGTGCTGCACAAGCACCAGCGGGCCCTGCACAAGTACAGCCTCATGAAGCGGCAGATGAGCGCCGCCGTGCACAGCCACGAGCCCGAGTCCGTGGAGCAGCTGGAGTCGCGCATCATGGAGGTGCTCGGGCATGGGGACATCATGGGGGGCATCGTGGAGGTGCTCGGGCATGGGGGGCATTGTAGGGGGGTTCCGGTCCTGGGGGGCAGCCTGGAGGTGCTCT